CCAACCTTAATGATTCTATTATTCTATTATAAAAAAGAGAAAACAAACCCATGTTTCCTGCACCAAACCTGTGCTCTGAAGTGACGTTGTTTGAAGCAACATTCCCAAGGTCCAACCTCGTATTTTGGATCCTCCCTGGCCCATGTCCATTGTGTGAACCTATCACCTGAGCCAGCAACTGCACATATTTGGCAAGAAGTTGAGAGACCTATAAGCCCTTTCAACTCAAGGGGAAAAAGCAGAAACTGAGCCTAGAAGTGTTTTGTTGTTCCAGAGAAGACTGATGCATGTGATGATGGCAAAGCAAAATTTTCTGAAGTATATACTCAGACAAGAAAGCTCGCACCAGTTTTAACGCTCCAGGATACATTCAAACTACTTCTAATTTTGGCAAGTGATACACAGAAGGAAATTAATCTAGTACACCCAGGTGTTGAGACTTGTCAAAAAGGTACTTCGTTCATTGATCAAAACTGGACAAAACTGTCTAAATAAATGTGCATGAAAGATTCCCATGCTCAACTCTTCCATACATATACTCAAAACACACAAACCAAGTTTCTGAAAAAAGAACAATCAACTTTTTTGTTTTTTTAGAAAAGGGAATGCAAGCCTTGAGAACTCCCTCTTTTCCACATGTGCACATCAGAGATCTTCTACAGAACAATATAGTTTTCAGCAATGAGAAACATTCTTGGCCTTAAGGAAATAAAAAAAAGTGATCCTTCCCGTATGTACAGCACACCCAAGAACATACATGCAATTTAGGGCTTGACCCTTCTGTGGTGAAAAGTATTCTATTACATTTTCTAGTCCCTGATTTTCAGCCAATTGCATCAAGCATTAAAAAGCTTATTAATATTTTTATGGAAAGGGAGGAGTAACTGAAATTTATATCACTGAAATCAGAGCCAAAAAACTTAAGCATCTACCACAGAATTGTCACACTATAATATATTTAAGCCCAAATTCCACAAAACTTTTGGGATCTGCTTAAGAAATGTACTTAAACATATAAACACTCCCCTAAAAATTGAACGTCTGTGTCATTTTATTGACATCTGTGTTGCACCTCTCAGGTGCTTGAAGCCACATGATAAAATACATTCCTTCAATTTAAAATGTGCTTAATTTTAAGTATAATCTTACATCATTCCTTATTCAGTAAAGTATTTATGCACGTGATTAATTTCAAAGATGAAACACGCGGTTAATCTGTTTGCTGAATTGTGACCAAAGATAATAAGTCTTGAGAGTGTACTTAAAATTAAATAATTTGCGGAATTAGAGCCAAGATACCTACCCAATCTTACAATTTTATAATTTTCTTTAATGAGCTTTTGAGTCAACTCTAATATCCTTCCCACAGCCAGAATTTGAATACCTTTCCTACAGTTTTAATTTCCTTTTAAAATAATAGTCATTGAATACTAAAAAAGAACTACATTTAAATCACCCAACTGAATTTGATTAAGCTTCCCAGAGCTGAAACAGTAAATCTGGGATCTGAATTTCAGAAACTTTGGGTTACTGTCAGAAGAACATTATGCTGTGCAAGTTTGCCACTGTATTATATACCATACTATCATACAGTCAAGGTAAATTCATAAAGCATGTTTTCCAGTCCAAAAGGAAACCACTACATTGAAAGTTCATTTTCAGATTATGGTTGAAAGAGATGGCTAAAAAGTAATTTTTTACCAAGGTCTCATAAAAGATGAATAAAACCAAAATGAAAAAAGACTGCTTCATATTTTTCTAGAAAAAAGATATTCAACTAACTCCTTTTAACATTTTTTTATTGATATAGTCTGATATAGGGCTAAAAATGTCAGCTGCTAGACATCAAAAAGAATATCTCATATTTTCGCTATAACTGTTTTATGAACAGAAGTGAGTTACATGACAGACACAGGAGGAGAATGATATGGGGAATATTTTTGCATTCTGAGTTATTTACTAAGCAACTAACCTCAAACTATACAATTTAATCTCTTAAATGTATCTACATAGAGCTATCTCAAAATTTTATAACTTAGCTTTTGTGGAAACCAAGCACTGCAATACTAAGATTTCCCCGATCTAAAAAAAAAAAAAAAAAAAAAAAAAAAAGAAAAAAGAAAAAAAAAAAGGACTTGGCCTCCCTGAATTCTGAAATTATCTCAAAAATTGTGAAATCTTAATATAATACAGTTAGGGCTTCTTTTTTTATTATTATTATTTGCTATATACACAAAAGAGTACATGTAGTACTCTTCATTCTTTCAAATGTTTTCCAAAATCTTGATCACCAGAAACCTTTTTCGTGTAAGATAATTTTAATTTTGATCATCACATGGTATTAGAAAAATAACAAATATTCTTAGGCACTTAGACTAAAAAGTCCTGTCCTTATTGTGACATGTTCAGGTTAACGAGCAGTATGAAAACTCTGCATTTGAACTTTAACTACATTGCTTTAGCATAAAATGAGACTTTTAGGGAAGGAGCAAAATTGCTAAAGGAAAAAAAAATTACTTAAGGTTGTCCTGTACAAACGTTTAAGAGTTGTTAAAACACAATCTCAGGATAGAAAAAGGCCTAGGAGTAAAAAATCCTAAAACAAAAAAAAACCCAGAAAACTCCGAAAAATTTTAAAAATACAGAAAAAAGAGGACAGGCAGCTAGTCTTCTAACTATGACTTTTTCAAACACCTGTGAGACTGGGCCTTGATGTTCCATTTGACTGCCGTTGCCTGCAGAGCAGCAGGTGCTATGCGATTAAAACTTTGAAGTTCTAATCTCACAGTAATACCAAACATGGATCTTTTACTAATTGCAACAGGAGTGTCATATAAGGAGAGACCATGCCTTAGCAATTATTAAACAAACTTTTCAAGCTTATGAAGCCATTCACAAAACCCACACAGACCATTCTTACCGCTTCCTCAGCACGGTCCCCTTTCGCAGTGAGATAGGTCACTCTGAACTGCTGAACATTGTAATCTGAAATGTCCCATACCACCCTCAGACTTGAGGTTGTTTCATCATCTATAACAAGGTTTCTGATTCCTGTTCGAAAAACTAAAGCAAAAAATATTTAATTAATATTTTCTCAACTCTATTTTTAAATTTAAAATTGTGCAAATTATCACCAAGTAGCTGCAAGCTCTACTGAAGTCACAATGGGTCTGCAGATCGATGGTGGGGCATATAGTTCAGTCATACTTGGTCTTAATAACATAAAAACTTTAACCTTTTAATAAAATAATAGTTATCCTATACTGCCATTAACATACATTACCCCATCTGCTTTGCTTCTATCACTTGGCTTAAGGAGCTTTAGAATAATCAAAACTCCACTGCAGTTAGAATGCTACAGAAGTGAAATAATCCAGAACTGTTGTTCCTTAAAAGTCAGTTTTCTAATTCCAGGGAAAACAAACAGAACACTCAAAACTAAACAAAATTCTGAAGAGTTTCCAAGCTCATATTTATAAAGGGAAAG